GACTCTTGAGAGTCCCTTGGACTGCAAGGAGATCCAACCAGTCCATCCTAAAGGAAATTGGTCCTGAATATTCATTGGAAGGACTGATGCTGAAGCTGAAACTCCAATACTTTGGCCACGTGATGCGAAGACCTGACTCACTAGAAAAGACCCTAATGCTGGGAAAGATTGAAGGCAGGAGGAGAAGGGGACGACAGAGGATGAGATGGTTAGATGCCATCACTGACTTGGACATGAGTTTGAACGAGCTCTGGGAGTTGGTGATGGACAGGGAAGCCTGGTGTTCTGAAGTCCACGGGGTCACAGAGAGTCGGACACGACTGAGCAACTGAACTGAATTGAACTAGCTTCCAAGTGTTCTTCTCTCTGAAGTCCTCCCGTCAAACTGGGATATGTAGGTGATCCCTCCAACAACTTGGCTTCTTTTCCCCTTGATCTTATTTCCTAAAGTTTTCCATGTTTCTTTCAGCCATTTGCTTTCACTGCTGGCTCTCTGGCCCTTGTCTTCACCTGATCTGTTCTGCTTCTGAGAACACAGTTTCAGACATCCCATCCTCTGAGACTGATCCAGCTCATAGATGAGTTACCTCCGACACTCCAGTTCTTCAGCTTCACAGGGACCTTCAGTTCTCTTGCCCGAGCCCTCCCCATTTAACAGCCTCTGCTCTGCTGTGCTGCGCGTGGTCACTCCAGTCACGTCTGACTGTCTGCGGGACTGTGGATCCTATGCCCAGGCTCCTCAGTCCCTGGGGTTCTCCAGGCAGGAACACTGGAGTGGGTTGCCATGGCCTCCTCCAGGGGGTCTTCCTGACCCAAGGGCCGAACCCTCATCTCCAGCATCTCCAGCATCACAGGCAGATTCTCCACCGCTGAAGCACTGGGTTAACAGCCTCTGCCCATCTGTATTTCCCTCCCTCTCCAAATCATGACTGATTCACAGCCCACCCCTTCAGACACCCATCACCGCCAATATTCCCAGTCCTTAGTGTTGCACCTCTGGTGGCACCTATCTTGCTCACTGTGCATGAAGGCATCTGTCCATTTTTTTTCTTGCTAGCTCACAGGCTGCTGAGCCCTACAGGAGAAAATATGCGAAGCACAGAGACCATCCTGGTTATAATGGTCATCAGTCCCAGTGAAGCCCCTACCACTGCCTGACTAGCCTACTGTTTCCCTAGTCAGCCATCTCCCATTTTCAACAACTATTTCAGAACTTCTTCACTGCCCTGACACCCCTGACCCACTCACCATCTCCTCTCATTCTCTGCTGATGACTGCCTCCTTCTTCAGAGAACAAACGGAAGTGATCGGTTAGGAATTCTCTCCACTTCTGGCCAACAAACCTACAATCCTCGCTGTTCTCTGCACCGATACTCTTTCTCCAACCCTCACGTGTCTGGATCCCATTCCTTCCAGTATCCTGACACTTTTGTATTTTCTGCTCTTCTCTGTTTTCCTGATTTCCTTTCATTAAAAAAAGGGGGGGCATTTTCCAGTCTGTCTCATCTTCATATCTCTTGACTCATATCCCTCTCCAGTGACCAAACTCCTTCTCTTCTCCTTTTCAGTAGCTTCTGAAGAAGTCTACCTTCCCTTCCTCAGCTCCTCACGGTAACACTTCCAGGACCTCGTGGTTGTGCTCAGGCGCTCAGCCACGTCCGACTCTGCAGCCCTGTGGGTGTAGACCACCAGGCTCCTCTGTCCATGGGGTTCTAAAGTAGGTTGCCATCTCCTCCTCCAGGGGATCTTCCCGACCCACGGATGGAGCCTGTGTCTCCTCCGCGTCCTACATTGGGAAGTGGATTCTTTACCACTGAGCCGCCCGGGCAGCCCTTCCAGGATCTTCCACGTTGCTGAATCCATTCTCCGTACATTTTTCAATCCTCATCTTGCTAGATCTTCCATCCGCTCTTGACAGGGTAGGTCACTCGTTCCAGAAATATGCCTTTCCTCAACCTTTTTTCCTGAGCACTCTCGTTTTGTCTCCTCTCTCTCTGTCAGCGTGTTCCCACTTTTCTTGCAAGATTTCGTCGTCTGCTGTCCTTTCAGTTGTAGGTGGTCCACAGAGCTTTGTCCTAAGTCCTGTCTCTACAGACTTATACCTGCATAAGTTATACTTGTATAAATTTAAATTTATAATTTACACCTGTATAAATTATAAGACTATAATCGAGTTCTTCCTCTTGGTTTTACTACCATCAATTTGCTGATAACTCTTAACTGTAGATCTCTAGTGCATATTGCTCTCCTGAATTTGAAACACATGTATCAGCTATCTGTAGCTCCATGTAGCTACATGTGTAACAGGTACAACAGGTACTTCAAACTCGAGACAAAATTTAACTCATCTCTTACAAACTTGCTTTTCTCCCAGTGTTCCTTACTCAAGAAATGGCATTGCCATCCACATAGTTACTCAAACCAGACGTATATCACTCTTGGCTTCTCTCTCTCCCCCTCACTCATCACAGCTGGTCAATTACCAAGCCCTATCAATTACATCCTCTTAAAATGGCTTTCAAATGAGCCCACTTCTCTCCATCCAGTGGCCTCCTTGCTCTTACCTGGGCTACTGTATCTACCCCCAGTTAACTGGTCTCCCTAACCCCCTAGTAGTAAGTTCCTCTTTTCCCCACCTGTGCTCCTCTCCTCCAATGCATTTCCTCCACAGCAGCCAGAATTATCTTCCAAAGAGAAATTATATTGTTTGACTGCTTAAACCCCTTCAGTTGCTTTGCGCTGCTTTTGGGGTAAGTCGTGGCTCCTGCCTTCATCTCCAGCCGCACCTTGAATTCCCCTCTTCGCTGCTGTGTTCTTTCGGTTCCCTTACTTCCACTGTCTGGATCCTCTTCCATCATCTGCCAAGGTAACTCATACGCCTTCCTTTGGTTTCGGATTAAACATTTCCCCCGGGAGGTTCGAAGTCCCTGTTCTGTTTACATGGTGCCCTGAGCTGCCCTTTTCATAAAGTCAGCAGATTTTGTCACAATTACTAGATTTATTACCTATTTTTTTCTGGATTGTAGGAACTGTTTTCTCCTTGTTTTCCTGTTGTCTGTCACTGTAACTGGACATGGTAAGTTCCAATTAAATGTTGAAAGGAGAAAGGGAAAGAGAAGAAAGTCTATAAAAGGCAGTATCATATAAAATTTGCATACATTTTAAGGGTAAAACGAGACTCCAAATAAATTTTGCTTTTCTGTCATACAAATATGGTTTGCATTAACCTTACGATACAAGTTATTAATACATGTCAGCTTTCTTTCCCCACTTCAGTGGAAAGACATATTTTGAACATTTTGTCTGCAGATTCCATTAAATGGATAGAGCTAGATATTTACTTAGATCAGTGATTTTCAGCCTGGAAATCTCTTGGTGGGGTTTTAAAAATTTTGTTTCCTGAGTCCCACCCACACAGATTTTCACTTAATCTGCCTGAGATTTTTCGAAGCTCTCTATATGATTCTGATACACAGCAAAAGTCAAGAACACAACAGTTACTGGAGCTTTTGTTTTTGTGACTTGCTTCACTGACTGATTTTGGAGCCTGTTGGAAAATAAGAACTAAAAGCAATGCAGATTCAGCAGCACCCTGATCCACCCACAAGTGCTTTCACCTACCACCACAAATGGCTGAAGTAGTGAAAAGAACTCCTTGGTCAAGTCCAAAGGTGGTGTTGTGAGCTGAGTCACTCAGTCGTGTCCAGCTCTTTGCAACCCGCTGAACTGTAGCCAGGCTCCTCTGTCCATGGAACTTTCCAGGCAAGAATACTGGAGTGGACTGCCATTTCCTCCTCCAGGGAATCGTCCTGACCCAGAAATGGAACCTAGGCCTCTTGCAGTGCAGGCAGACTCTTTACCAGCTCAGCCCCCGGGGAAGCCCCAGAGGCAGTGCTGGCCTCAGGCGCCTTTGGTCCAGCGACCCGGTGACCGCAGTCACCCCACATCTTTCTGTCTCTCTTCCCAGGCGCGGTGTGGCCTCGCTCCCAGCGTGGGCCTTCGTCGTGGCAGACGGCGGCTGCTGAAGCCACCAGGAGAGGGAGAGCATCTCTGTCCCAGCGCTGTGTTTAGGAACAGTCCTCAGGGGCACACCGATGGGCCTGGTTCAAGTCACAGACCAGTCTCTGTGTGAGAGGGGTGGGAATGCGGCAGCGGAGAGCGGCGTCCTCTCCCCAGGAGTCCCAGGCGTCCCCGGGCGAGCAGACTCTCCCCAGGAGTCCCAGGCGTCCCCGGGCGAGCAGACTCTCCCCAGGAGTCCCAGGCGTCCCCGGGCGAGCAGACTCTCCCCAGGAGTCCCAGGCGTCCCCGGGCGAGCAGACTCTCCCCAGGAGTCCCAGGCGTCCCGGGCGAGCAGACTCTCCCCAGGAGTCCCAGGCGTCCCCGGGCGAGCAGACTCTCCCCAGGAGTCCCAGGCGTCCCCGGGCGAGCAGACTCTCCCCAGGAGTCCCAGGCGTCCCCGGGCGAGCAGACTCTCCCCAGGAGTCCCAGGCGTCCCGGGCGAGCAGACTCTCCCCAGGAGTCCCAGGCGTCCCCGGGCGAGCAGACTCTCCCCAGGAGTCCCAGGCGTCCCGGGCGAGCAGACTCTCCCCAGGAGTCCCAGGCGTCCCCGGGCGAGCAGACTCTCCCCAGGAGTCCCAGGCGTCCCCGGGCGAGCAGAGGGCCCTTTGCCGAGGAGCGGGGGAGAAGAGTCAGCGCCGAGAGCGCCAGGCATCTGCTGTCGCGCGCAGTGGTGTCGCCCGACTGCAGGATTCGGTCACAGCACGGTGGCAGTCCCTTCGAGGGTCGTGTGCTGCTTTGTGAGTAGCTCAGATACATTTTCACAGCAGTTCCCACAGTTAGGACTTCCCTGATAAGAATCTGCCTACCAGTTGCAGGGGCGCCAGGTTCGATCCCTGGTGCGGGAAGATCCCACATGCAGTGAAGCAGCTAAGGCCGTGTGCCCCAGCTGCTGAAACCCGCATGCCCAAAGCCCAAGCTCTGCCTCAGGCGAAGCCGCTGCGATGAGAGGCCCACGCACTGCGCTGGAAAGGAGCTGCTGCTCCCTGCAGCTAGAGAGAGCGCGCGTGCAGCAGAGAAGACCCAGCGCCCCGCACGCCAGAAAGGTGTCCACAGTTAGGTTAGCGACTGATAGAAAACTAAGGCTATATCTATCACAGAGCGCTTCAGTGAGAAAAACCTTGAGAACAGAAAATTTGATTTGGGCCCGGTAAATATAAGTTTCCTTGTGTCTGGCTTTTTCTTGGTGCCTCAGTGAGCATGTTTTCTTCCCTCAGTTTGAAAACAAAAACTGAGACCCTCCAGAGAGTCTGACATGTGGATTGCCACCCTCCAATCCGAGTGGCACTAGCCAAGAAGATCCCGTTGAGCTTTGCATTATATAATTGTCATTATGAAAGCAATAGGGTTTAAGTTTCCCCCCTGAAATGTACTTTTGGATTATAATATTAGTTATGCCATTTAGCACATGCTAATGACATATGCTAAAAAAAAAAAAAAAGAAAACTTCACTACACGCAAAAATTTCCCTAAAATCCTCCTTCCCTTTACCTGCCCCTCCCAGGGGATATTAACTCTCCCTGGTTGAAAATTCACTGTTCTACAACTGGCTGTTACCAAACACCCTTCTGATTGTAACTGACTTTGCATAAAAAATTTCCCATAATAGAAAATGTACTAACCAGCAAACATGGATTTGGGGGCTGCTTAGAGTTATGTTTCCTACTGCAAGTTAATTTATTGGCATTCGCCAACCCTTAGAGTCTCACTGTGTCTATATGTGCTAATTTTCAGTTTCTGAGTTTATAAAACAGAGGACCACATTCCAGAACAAGGCCCCTGCCTTAAACTTAGACTAAGACTTAAACTAAGACCAGAGATGTTACTTTGTCCTGGTGGCCAGCCATTCTTTCAAGCCGCCCTCACCAGGTTCCGTTCAAATTGTACCAATAAAATAATTTTTTTAATAAGTGGTGTAAAACAGCACAGGTGGAATTTCTTTTGTTGTTTTTGCTGTTGTTGTTTGGTCGCTAAGTTGTGTCCGACTCTTTTGTGGCCCCGTAGACTGGAGTCCGCCAGGTTCCCCTGTCCATGGGATTCTCCAGGCAAGAATACTGGAGTGGGTTGCCATTTCCTAATTCAGAGGAACTTCCTGACCCAGGGATCAAACCTGTGTTTCCTGCATTGGCAGGTGGATTCTTTACCACTGAACCACTCGGGAAGCCCTAAAATTTCTTTTACCGTTTAGAATTACAGTGCCTGAATCCTCTGTCTATACATCCAGCAAGATGGCACATGTCCCTCAATGCGCTGAAATGAGAACAAGACCCACAGGTGTCAGCATACTAGGGCGAATTATAAGAGTTTCCCTTGAAGAGGAAGGAAGGCAATCTATAATTGTCCTCCTTACATAATGGAGCCTCGTGTATCCATCACTTAATTTCAATAACAACCAACTATGGCCAGTTTCGTTTCAACAAAACCCCTACCCACTTTGTGTCAGCCACTTGCACTCCCAAGTAATTCTTGAATCAGATGTCAGACATCACTTTTGAGGTAGCGAATTTTCAGCTGGGGAGCAAATTTATTTTGCCTTCTAAAATGAAAATGATCACCATGGTTAGGATTTGCTTTTTTTCATATAATGATTCCCCCGTACAGTAAAATTTCCTGTAAGTATAGCATTAACCTGCTAAACTTTCACTTGTCTAGAGGGAGTGTGATGTGTGCTGTTACTTAAGGGATTGTTGACAAGAAATCAAGAGCAAGGCTGACAACTTCAGGAGAGGAGATCAGACCACATCCTCACCTTGAGCCCTAGGGAACTGGACTGGGTGTGGCTAGTTTGACTCATAGGGGGTCACAGGGGACACTTACTGCCAAACATGGTTTTTATGACAAGACTGAAGAGTCCAGACTGGGAAATGTCCTGATTCCTTTTGGGTCAAAACCACACTTTCCTAGGTGAAAAGGAGGAGGACATTCCCACTCCTTTTAGGAGGGGACAGTCATGATGGACTTGGACTGAAGTTACAACCTATTCCTCTTTCTCATGGCCTGAGGCAATTTGGGAGCCTGGATTCCAGTTAGGGGACACAGGCCAAGGGGCCACCTGAAAGAGGGAGGAGATGTGGTCCCTGCCGTATGGTGTCTGGGTGGGAGGTAGGAAGGAGCCACCAGAATCTGAGGCTGAACATTTGGATATAGACCACCTCTAGCAAGAATTACAGATTGTCTTCTGTGCTGTGTTTTCCTCCTGTTATCTCTGAACCTTCAACAAAATCATGCTAAAGTTGTAGTCTGGTGTTACCAGTCTGGTGTGAGATTAAGAGGCTGAGCACACATGTGAGAAGTCAGTACAAGGGAAAACGTTAGCAATCTGCTGTGAGAGGCCAGTGCTGATATCAAAGGAAGGTGTCTGCATACAGTTTTACCCCCTGGAGCCAGATACAGTGGCCATGATGGTCCTATGGGACAGGAATTTTCCAGGGATTCTTGGAGCCTTTTGGTAGGTAAGCCTGCTAAAAGACTGGTCTTCCTGTTGCCCTTCAGATAGGATGGAAGTAAAAGAAACATGTCTTTATGCTAATCTCCAAGACTCTTGAGTCCTCAGACTACTAGAAACTAGTAAATATTGACATATGTAAATGCTTGCTGTGGATAGCAGATTTCTAGAAAGATATATAGGAATTTTTAACAGGGTTTTCTCCAGGATTTCACTTTTATTCTTCTATACAGTTGAAAAGTTTATAAAATATATGTATTACTTTTATAATATATATTAATGAAAATGAGATAAGTATTATGTACACATGAAATATATGTTGTTTATCACCTAAAACCATGTGCCAGCTGAACCAAGCAGTTATTACACATTAGGGATTAAATAATGGAGAAAAACAGAGTATTAAAAATATTACCCCAGGGTGGTTTACATTTGCCAAATTCCTTCCAGACTTTCCTTCTGAAATTTTCTTGCCTTAAAACAAAAGCCAGATACACCTATTCAGTTCAGTTCACTTTAGTTCAGTCACTCAGTCGTGTCCGACTCTTTGCAACCCCACGAACCGCAGCACGCCAGGCCTCCCTGTCCATCACCAACTCCTGGAGTTTACCCAAACCCATGTCCATCGAGTCACTGATGCCATCCAAACATCTCACCCTCTGTCGTCCCCTTCTCCTCCTGCCCTCAGTCTTTCCCAGCATCAGGGTCTTTTCTTTTTTTTTTATTTTATTTTATTTTATTTATTTATTTATTTTTTTTCATTTATTTTTATTAGTTGGAGGCTAATTACTTTACATCATTGCAGTGGTTTTTGTCATACATTGAAATGAATTAGTCATGGATTTACATGTATTCCCCATCCCAGTCCCCCCTCCCACCTCCCTCTCCACCCGATCCCTCTGGGTCTTTCCAGTGCACCAGGCCCGAGCACTTGTCTCATGCACCCAACCTGGGCTGGTGATCTGTTTCACCCTAGATAATATACATGTTTCGATGCTGTTCTCTTGAAACATCCCACCCTCGCCTTCTCCCAGAGTCCACAAGTCTGTTCTATACATCGGAGTCTCTTTTTCTGTTTTGCATATAGGGTTAGCGTTACCATCTTTCTAAATTCCATATATATGTGTTAGTATACTGTAATGGTCTTTATCTTTCTGGCTTACTTCGCTCTGTATAATGGGCTCCAGTTTCATCCATCTCATTAGAACTGATTCAAATGAGAGGGTCTTTTCTAATGAGTCAACTCTTCGCATGAGGTGGCCAAAGTATTGGAGTTTCAGCTTCAAAATCAGTCCTTCCAATGAACACTCAGGACTGATCTCCTTCAGGATGGATGGGTTGGATCTCCTTGCAGTCCAAGGGACTCTCAAGAGTCTTCTCCAACACCACAGTTCAAAAGCATCAATTCTTCGATGCTCAGCTTTCTTTATAGTCCAACTCTCACATCCATACATGACCACTGGAAAAACCATAGCCTTGACTAGATGGACCTTTGTTGGCAAAGTAATGTCTCTGCTTTTTAATATGCTATCTAGGTTGGTCATAACTTTCCTTCCAAGGAGTAAGCATCTTTTAATTTCATGGCTGCAGTCACCATCTGCAGTGGTTTTGGAGCCCAGAAAAATAAAGTCTGGCACTGTTTCCACTGTTTCCCCATCTATTTCCCATGAAGTGATGGGATTGGATGCCATGATCTTAGTTTTCTGAATGTTGAGCTTTAAGCCAACTTTTTCACTCTCCTCTTCAACTTTCATCAAGAGGTTTTTTAGTTCCTCTTCACTTTCTGCCATAAGGGTGGTGTCATCTGCATATCTGAGGTTATTGATATTTCTCCCAGCAATCTTGATTCCAGCTTGTGCTTCTTCCAGCCCAGCGTTTCTCATGATATACTCTACATATAAGCTAAATAAGCAGGGTGACAACATATAACCTTGACGTACTCCTTTTCCTATTTGGACCCAGTCTGTTGTTCCAGTTCAGTTCTAACTGTTGCTTCCTGACCTGCATACAAGTTTTTCAAGAGGCAGGTCAGGTGGTCTGGTATTCCAATCTCTTTCAGAATTTTCCACAGTTTATTGTGATCCACACAGTCAAAGGCCCTGGCATAGTCAATAAAGCAGAAAGAGATGTTTTCTGGAACTCTCTTGCTTTTTCGATGATCCAGTGGATGTTGGCAATTTGATCTCTGGTTCCTCTGCCTTTTCTAAAACCCACTTGAACATCTGGAAGTTCACGGTTCATGTTCCAAGCCTGGCTTGGAGAATTTTAAGCATACCTGTTACTGAACTAGAAACTATGAAACAACTTTAGTACTCTCCCAGGCTTCCACGACTAGTAATGATGTTGATTCCTTGCACATAGCATCACAGCATGATTCTCATCCCTGTTTGCATGCCCAGAAGCCTGACTCCAAGGTCATAAACCTGCAGCAGGCTCACCTCAGCTCACCTCTTTTCAAAATTTAAAAAACTCTACACTCGATTATGATGTATGGTCCAGCACTGGAAGAGGAATTGGGGAGAATGATACAAGAATGCCTCCAGAGGATTCAACCCAACCTTCTACTCAAGGTGAGTAGGTATTATTTCACCAGTCCAGCTCAAAGATTCTCCACA